ACATGCGACATGTTTGTAGGCGATTAAATCATAGCTAGAAACATTGTATTTACATCAAAATAAGTACCAATATTATTCAAACTTAGACAGAAAGAATATTTTTAAACTTTGGCTGGAAAAAACCGACAGACAAGCATTCGCTATAAATAGTAATTGATTGGCTCTCTAAATCACGACTATTTCATATTTAAACAGAAATATTGCATATTTTTAAATTTCAAAAAAGAGAATAAATATGACGGAGATTTATTCTACGAATAAAATAATTGCTTGGCGTTCTAAATCGCGACAAATCACGATGTTTACGATTTTAAACGAAGAAAATTTTAAGTAACTGCGATATATTTCGCGTTATTCCTTCGTCGTCTCACAATGTTGTCGGTCCACGTTTTACGAAGACGCCGGGGTAGACGAAAGGACCCCATGCTCGGTAACGCGCAGGAGCGAAACATGGCGTTGCAGTTCAGCCATGGCCGCCCGAGAGAGAGAACGCCTTTACCATACTATCTCTCGTCCCAAGACTGCGTTATACTCCCGATTTCCCTTCCACTTCCTCTCGCCGACGTCTACTTTGTTTTCTCGGCGCGATAGCTACTACCTTCGAAGCGAGATGCAGGTGAAGCGGATAGGAGGGAGTGGCTCGAACTACGAACACTGAAGAACCATTTCTACATATCTGGTGTGTCACGAGAAATGTATCTCTTACTGTATATTTCGACCTTTAAGAGATATCACTACGAAGGCTACATTTTCGCGAATTTTGATTAATAAAATAATAATAATAATAATAATGTAATATGTGAAGGGAGAAAAATGTATACTGCCATTTAATTCTGCATATAATTTATATCGAGGCTTTGATGTGAAAAATGAAAAACTTGGTCTTGCAACCTTAATATTATCTCCGAGTTTTAGGTATTATTTCAAGTTTGGATATGTATAACGATGATTTCTTTATATTTCGACTACCTTTCTTACGAATACACCCCGTATATCTCACTTTGATAAATGCATGAAAAACCGAAACTTCTCTCGTAAAAGCAGCACGAGGCACATCTAGTCCGCTTCACATCGCAGCACACGTATTCGAAAGTAAAGCAGACACTTGTGGATGAATGTGCGCTACGTTCTTGCCCGCGGCGGGTTTATACATGTTGCGGGGTTATGCAAAGCATCTGTCGTGTAAAGCTAGGAGGATTTACCTGTTCAAAATACATGTATATTTAAGATATTATTTTTAAACGTATACCCCTTCAAGCAGAATTGCACCCTCTGAAAGAATAATCACACAAAACGAGATCTGAAGATATTTATGTTATTAGATATTTAAATTATGAACATTCTCGATATTTCTAATTATTCTGTTATATTATTATGCTTATTACGATAATATATATAGATTTATTGTAAATTTTAATTTAGATAAAAAATTACATCAGAGTACAAAATAGGAACTTCAAAGTAATGCATAGCATCTGAGAAGTCAGTCTATCTTTCTCAAAGGGCGATTCTCTTTTTTTTTTTCGTACATGCAACATGCATTTAGAGTTTCACGTATTTACGCGTACCCTCCACAAGCGTGAAAGTTGTCCACTTAGATACAGTCGTACTATGACTCTCTCTCTTCCTCTTTCTTTCCTCTACGCCGTGTCTCTTCGGGAAAACTCCTTAAGTTGTAAAGCGGCGTATGCACTTTCGTAGGGGTATAAAGCGAAACGTGTCGGTAAAAGAATTGCTGGTATGTGTTACTATGTCTGTACGACCGCGGGGCTAAATATGTCAAGTGGTATATCAAAGTGGCGTGTGTATTTCTTGAAAAACTTAGCTCCCGCCGGGATACGCCGGGAAAGAAAGAGCGGGTTTTTGATCTTCCATAATCTTAATACGCGAGTTGTATGTAACGAAGGATCAACGCTTATCTTAAAAAAACGATATTTTTGCGCACATATTCGAAATATTTATATTATTTTAATTAAAAAATAATTAGATATTTATGAGACAAAATAATGTAGGATATTTTTACCTAAGATTTAGCAATTATCTAGCAATTAGAAGAGATTATGTGTGTTAATAAAACTTTAATAATTATATAATATATATTTTTTTAATGGAATATTTATAATAAAACCTAGAAAATATGTTATTTTACTCAAGCTATCTAGAATTTCTCTGTCTGTTTTTTTCGCTTTTACAGAACTCTATGTTTTTTAAATAGTTTAAACGTATAAATATGTAGAAGAGCACACATACATATACACACGTGAAATTTTGAGATTTAGATTTATAAGACAGCTTCTATATTCGTATGTACAAGTTGCAACCGTTATACAATGCATTTATTCGTACTGATCGTAAATTATCGGTGCTTGGTGATAACATAAATGCAATCATATGATTGCACTCTTGATCCAATTGTTTTTATAGGTTAATTCTTATCAACATTGTAACGATAATTGAATGGTATAGCGCCAGTAAAACTTGAACTTGAATATTATATAAAAATCTGTATGAGAAACAATATTTTTATTGAAGTATATTTCTATTCAAAATAAGAGATAGATTCTCAAATAATTGTGATTGAAAAAAAACGACTATTGCGAATTATAGACAAAGAAAGAAAGAAAGAGAGAAAATTAATTAATATATTTTTATTAAATTTTGTATATATTATTTCAGATTTGAAATATATTTAAGAGAAAAAATCGAAAAATATCGCGCTATATAATTTATAATTAAATAAATTTTTCTGATTAACATCTTGAGCATATTTTTTATTTCTCTTCTCAGCTTGGTAATATAATATACAACTTTTTAACATGTAAGATATTAATAGAAAGTAATATTCAGCATTTAGCGAATCGATAGCTCACTCGCCTCGTGAATTACAAACGTCCTTCACGTGTGAACGCTTAGAGAAAAGGTTATGGCTAAAGACACGAAACGCAATCGTAAGCGTGAAAATACGAGCGTAGAAGGCATACTCACGATATAAAGCTAGCAGGATAAATGTAAATGCATATGCATACGCGTGCCTAATCTAACGATCAAATCGTTTCAGCTATCCAATGTGAAGGAATTAATGGTGCGAGACCAATTTCAATTTCAATATCTATCATCGTGAATTCTCATTCGTTCATTCTACCTAGAGCTACGAAGTTTCTTTTTTTTTCTCTCTCTCTTTCTAGAACGAGTTTCTACTTCTTCCTCCCCCGTCTATTGATGTACGTGTATATAGATTTATTATATTAAAGCAAAGCACAATAAAATTTTTTATTAATATATCAAAATTATTTCAAAATATTAAAGTAAATTACGTTTACTACATCGTGATAAAAAAAGAGTTTAAAAATCAATGTCGATATCGATCTAAATTTAAGTAATTATTTTGAATGTATCTTACCAAATTTTAAAATAATACAGTAAGTAATATGATTTTAAATCAAGAAACCCAAGCGTATAGTTTTAATAGAAAGTTTTAAAATAAACCGAACTATTCGCGCGTCTCATTGTCAGACAAAGTCTAACGCGTGTCTCATATAAATTACCTTGTTGTTCGTACGTGAGCGCACATTGTGCTCGAGTAATGTCATGTAACGGTGTCTGCTTTGCCATCGTCTTTTCCATTGGACTCGGCTGTTTCATTTTTTGTTTCACTTTCTATTAACTATTACCGTTGAAACAATTCTTTATATATTTAAAATTGTCGTAATTAAATTTATTCAACTTGCATGTTAAATAAATCGGAAAATACAAAAAAAAAATTAAAGATTTAGAGAGGTATTTATAATGGCTTTAAAAATATATAAAATGCAACTAGAAACAAATAATTTTCTAAATATCTTTGATTCTACAAAATATGATTCAGAATTCTTGACCCTGCGATTTTTTTTTTCTGCAATGTTTTTATCTTGACTGAAACACCTTGTATATGTATAACAGGCAGAGTGATATCATCTACTTGAAGCAATTGAGAGGAAGCGTTCAATAACGTGAACAATATGCTTTCTGAAGCAGCAACTTTTAGTCGCCCTACACACACGGATTTTTATATACGTAACCTTTTATCGTGTCAGCAATAACTATACATAAATTGTTGCAAAATCATCAGAGATTTTTCAACTGTAGCTTTTTTAGACTCTTAATTTTTTTCTTGGCAATAGATCGAGAAAGATCATAATTTGCTGTATCTTTTCAATTTTTTAACTAGTATATTTGATTCCGCAAAGTTTGGCATAAAAGCGCAGTGATCCAAATTCATACCGTGTGTGAAAGATCGACAACTGAAAACAACGTGGTTAATGCTGCTTTTGACCACGGTGGTGCCCCCGCCTTGACCGTGGCTTAAGAATGTCGCTCGATTACAATGCATCGCGGCTGAGGTCCAGGTAATCGAATGAAAAAACATGATTCGCGGGAACAGCGGGAGGCCGCTGATCACGATCACAAACACTATGTAGTCGAGTGGGGGCGAATGACACACTACATGGGAAGGATGATCATGTCTCTCGTGAAGCTTACAGACAAGTTGAGCCGAGCCTAACTTCTGCATTTGTATCTGGCTTGAACACGCGTGTTCCGATTTTGCCGATAAAAGTCTGCGATTGTGATAACTCATTGTGTTGATAATGATCTTTTCTATTAATTTATATCGTAGAGCAAAGTGGGTTTTATATGCAGTGAATTCGAAAAAATGCACAAGGTTAATGTAAGTTTTTCGTTTGAGAAAAGACTTTAAAAATACACACGATTTAAATACAATTTAAATATCTGAAATCAAAATTTTCTTAGATTAAAATCTTTTAAATTGTAATTAATAAATAAATTGCAATAAAAAACAATCTATACGATTTTTATATGCGACTTTAAAATTGATACATAGATAACAATGAATCGTGGAACATTTAGCCAAATCCTATATATATTAACTAAAATAGACATCATATTTTATACTTGCATAAAATTGCAAAACATTTCAAACGAACAATGTTTTATTGTTGCAGGTTTGGGAACTGCGTTTTGGCGACTTAGCATCTTATGGGTAAGTTGAAATATTTTGATTTTAAAGATAATGACGAGGAAAAAATATAACCTGAGATAGCTAATAAAATATTTAATTAACTTCTTTAGTTAGCAAAAAGAATTTAATCGTTAAATCAGCATTTATTACATTCTGATTTTATTAAATTTTTATAATACTTTTTTGAAGTTTGTAGCTATAAATTAATACTTTGTTTCCAATATATATATATACATATATAAGCATGATATTGTATTCTTAGTAATTTTTATAATTATTGTAAAGAGAATAACCATTGCGAGTATATGTTGCGTAAGATCTACAATTTTCTATTTGACCTCGTGATGTAATGGAAAAGCTGAAGTCGTATGGAGGGGTGGAGGGGGGAGTTTGAAGAGGATAGACGAGGTGGGAGAATTCCGAGCGTCCATATATAACTCGGAAACCTCAATTTTGGCAACGTGTCGTGGTAGAAAATTCTCGGCGTAATCTGACGGTTTATGCCGATCCGATGCTGGACCGGATAAACATAAAACATGAGGCGGCGTAATGGAAGGACGTATAACAAAGAAACGTTCTAGCAATACTAAGAAGCTGAGGGACTAACCTCGCGGGTCCATGTTTAGTACATGTACTAAATGTAGCGAAGCTTTCATCTTTTTTTTTCCCTTACACGAGATTCACCATCGCTCGATACTGCGATATTTTATTACGAATGTGGAATCTCTACCAGAGTCTGCCATTTTTCCAGACGATAGGAATTGTATATGTAATGTATATTGTTTGTTTTGAATACTAATAATAGAATATAAAAACTTCACGATTGGAACAAAAATATTCTCTTTTCTTCAAATTTAAATAATAATAAATGAAAAAAGTTAAAAATTATGAAAACAAATTTCATAGAGAACAAGAAAAATTAAAAAATATTAAATTAAAATTCATATAAAATCGCTTACTAATCGTAACATACTTTCGATTCATTCTAAAACAATCTCACAATCGTAAAAAAGACAATTACATATTTTTAAGATAGGTCAAGGAATTGGGAGGAGAGGTAAAGCAGGGAGAAGAAGGAAAGGGAGTTAACGGTTGATCTCTATGTAGATCGCCGAGAGATAGCAAAGAGAACGAAATATCTCTGTACGCAGTATTTTCTTGAAAATATCGTTTTAAGAATAACTTTCTAGAAATTGCTTTACGAGACAGAAATAATCCTTCCGTTGATTGATCTTTAAAAAAGAGGGGAACAGTTGGGAGAAGAATAAAAAATTTAATGTAATAAACGAGAATACTCCAAGAATGCGCGCTCGAGAAGAAAGTTCATCATACTAACAATAAGTCAGATTTAAGTCGAATCGAAATCCGGAGGAGCTCGAGAAACTGAAATCATTTTGATTCGCCTGGCAATTTTTAGAAGAGTTGATCTCTTTCGAAATTTTCATTGCATTAAATTTCAAGTTATTCGAAATGCTTGTATTCTTTATAAAGCTGCTAATAAAACGTAACAGTTTTAAAAAACAAATATTTTCTTGTAATTATGATTCCTTTATAATTACAAAAAATATTTATTTATTAACTATTACATTTTATTAGCGGTTTAATGAAAAATACAAGCAATAGTCACTTTTATTTTTGTCTGTTTTAAACTGGATTAATACGTACAGTTATACATATGCAATAAATATAATACCGTTTAGCGAAAACAAACATGTAGTAGGAAAAACAAATGGTGCTGTATAATAGTGATGTAAAATGAACTGATGTTAAAAGAAGTAATTGTAATGACTAATATGTACTTTGGACATACGTAGATGTGCAAAATATTTTTTTCACAACAGTTGCAACTGTGAACCTTATCGAGAAAATAGATCCGATTTTTAAAAATGTCATGGCGGTATTTGTCATTGTATCTCTCATAGTATTGCGAGATTGTATGTACGAATGGCGTTTTTCTTGATCCGAGATGTTGGGCTGGGTCTTTCGACGTAACAGCAAAGATACATGTCGGTACAGTGGAGTTTCGCATTGATCGGCAGTAGAAGAGCTTCGCTCTGATTGGCCAGACTCTACTACATTCTTGTTTCCACAATACGGATGACAAGGATAAACGCATCCGCGTATTCATTGATTAAAAAAAGACGATCTATGCTGTATAAGAAGGAAGGAGGGGTATATATGGCAATTTATAAGATTGAAAAAGAGGGAAGAAATTGGGAAGAGAGAAAAAGGGGAGAAGGAAAAAAAGAGAAAGGAAGACATAGCACTATGTAATGTAAATATAATAGGAAGAGTAGAGGAGAGAAAAGCTGTAATATATGTGTATTTTTGAAAGGAAAGGAAAATAAAAAAATTTGAAAAGAAACGATCGATTTTAGATTTACAAATTGCTCAAAGATAATTAATAATTATTATATAAAATTCAGTGACATTAATTAGGAAAGCAAAGAGAACTTCGTTTTAAATAAATTTTAGAGCATTGAGAAAATTATCAATCTTTTGAACACTAACAATTATTTCTGTGGAAAACATGAAGAGGATTTAAATGCTTTTAAGAATCTCCTACTTTTGCCCTGTAATCCTCTCCTTCAACACGAGATCAATTTCTATCTGCTTTTTCGCTCTTCTCACTTTATCAATCGCTTCTTTCTTTTAGTCTTTACCAGAGAGTACTGCTTTCTTTTCTTATTAGCCTTGCTGTAGGAATTATATGACCATGTCTTTACAGAAAACGAGTGTGCGAGTATTATGGTAGACTTTGTGCCATTAAATAAGCCACTTCAATGAATTAACCGGTTAATCGACGTTCCGCATCGGCGACTTTCGTCCTCCTCTCTCTTTCTTCCTTCCTTCCCTCATGCTTTAGCTGGCATTCTCTCTCCTCCTTTTTTGTTTTTTCATTTTCAATGCCTCGCGGCGGAACCCAGCATCAGCTGCGTTTCAAAACTTATATTATAGCCGGCGTAATAAGTATGATAATCAGACATCCCGCTGCATCGACGTGGGGCGGGACCTTCTTCTTTTTTGTATGTTTTTTTTAAAATCCTGTGTCCGATCTTGCGTATACGCAAATGTTTATGCGAATGCGCGGGACGAATTTTAGTGACGCCGCGAATTAAGCGAAGGATTATTTGCGTTACATTTATGATTATCTGCTACATATACATTTATACATACATATATCAATGATTGCGATAAAATAACGGTATTATCTTTTAAAATACGTGATACGTTATCGGCTAAAAAGTATCTTCAGGATAAAATTCTATCCTTTTTCTTGTTGTTAAAAATATATTTATACTGTTAGTTCTCTTTTATTGATTAAATGAAAAACATCTCTTTATGCGACCCTTTTATTGATTAATGACAAACAGTCCACGTGGTGCACGTGGCGCCATCCTTGGAGAAAATCGCTAGTCACGAATCCCTTTTCCCCTCTCATCGTTCCCCTCGCAGAGTTCTGTGTGAGAAAACGATGGATATGGAATGTGGCAAAGGAGGTAGGGGAAAATCAGGGTGAAGTGGGTTGAGACCAGGCGAGACGGGGGGTCAACCAGTCCAGACCAGTCGGTCGCGCCCCAACAACCCTGTCCGATCCCTGGAAACCGGACGAATAAGGGGGTAAGGGAGGGAAGGGAGGAAAGGCCGACTAGTATCGATCCGAACATCCATGTTACACGATTTGTAATCATTTTGAATTACACGCCCAGGAGTTTGTGCAAGACAGACAGTCGGGACGCTGCCTTCCCAGAATTTTTTAGTCCAGCTTGATACCGTTCAAAAGTATATTACATTCGAGTAGCGTGTAAATATAGTGAAAAATATACATAACATTCTCATATATTTATTCTTTCTTTCTCGATTTTTATTTACGTATAAAGTACATGAGAAAGTTTTATTATTTTATCAATTAAAGAAGTTCGCAAAAAAATTATTTTAATTTTAAATGGAAATTTAGAATTTTTTATACATATATGTATACATGATATAGAATAATTTTGTTTCGGATTTTTTTCTTAAGATAGATCTAAGAAATGATAATACACGCGGTAGGCAAATAAGAGCCTTCAAGTGCACGTGTTCGAAAGTACTCGTAATATATTCTTTTTAGTATTTTTCCATCTCCGTGGAATTAAAGATAGGTCGAAGCTACTTCCACCTCTGAAGCAAAAGAGAACACGAGTTTGTATTTTCTAGCACGCATGTATTAGTATCTAAAGATTTGTATCTGTCTATCGGATATTATTGTTACTTTTTTCGGATCTATTTTTATATACAATTCTATAATAATTATCCTATATGAATATAAAATTTTAAGAATTATTAAACTTATATAATATATCCTTGCAATTATTTTTAATAATTTTATGTTCTGTTTCAAAAGCATCTCATTGTCAATCAAAAGACATATGTGTGCTGGCGTATATACACACATAATACACAATCACACAGCAATATATTTTAAGAAGTAAATATATCACTTTATGGGGGGAGGAGATTAAATTTATTCCAAGAATATTCAAATTTTATACGTGCATGTACAATATGTATGTGTATGTGTATGAGTATGGGTGTGGTATAGATGCAGTTTAAATAAACATTATATCCGTTCGTGAATTTCTTAGAAACACTTAATGTCGAGAGCAACTCTGTGAACGCTATAAATCTAAAAGTCCTTGAATTTAAATATCAGGGTGCAGTATACAAGAATACACTCGTACGTCAATGTCTAACACATACACTGATTCAAGCTTCCGAAACTCGGGATCGATTCGTGCCACTTCGTGGCACGAGCGATACCTCTGTATCGTGTAACGTGGACGCAAGTAAAAGCTTGGGCAACTAGCTACTAGATGGCGACTCAAATCAGTCGCTGTCATGAAGCCTGAGTGGTCCAACCAGAGAGCTCGAATCACGTTCCCGTAATCGAGGACATGGCGGCAGCATGGCGTCGAATGTACATTGTTGGTATTCCAAGCACGACTTTTTCGTAACACCTTGCCGGATTTTTCTATATATTT